AATGAAAAAGGGCGAAGGTGAGACAAACTAAATTTTCTTACAATCAACAGACAAATAAATAATCAAAAATTGATTCTAATAATATAAAAAACCAGACTACTTACTACCACAAAAACAAAACATAAATTTAAGTCAACAAATATTTAAAATTAACTAAAGTCTTTGTTTCTGACAATAAACACCAAATCAAAATGAAATTTCTGCAAGTGAAAACAAAAATGAACTAAAATAAAATAAACAGAAAAGAAACCAATAATCATAATATTGTGCAGTATTTACTTTTACTTTGCGCTTCATTCATACAAATCCTTTTCGAGTGGAAATATATCTGAAATTTGATTTTGATTTCTGAAATTTTAACTAACTACAAACATACATATATACACAGTTATGTTTACAAAAACCCAACACATTATATATTATATAAAAGCCTCACAGAACACGGCCAACTAATAAGCATAGCCAAAAGCTAGCGGAAGCAATATAAATAATACTCATACACCCCAAGGGCTCCCCCAGAAATGGTGCAACACAACATTCTAACAATCCAACCAACCAATCAATCAATCAATCACAAACTTAAACTCAACTCGAATTCAGAGCATTCGATCGATCAAACACACATATATGCACACTAAAATCCTCAAAACAATCCTCACAAAAAAATTAAAAAAAAAAAAATTACAAATGCAAAAGCAAGAATCAACAAGAAATCTTACACAAAAAATGTATGTTTTAAATTTTAGTTCTCAACGACTCATTTAGTATGCGTTTTTCGATTCATTTTGCTTTCTTTATTGAATTTTATTTGAAATCCTAAAGTGTCGCCCCGATATCACGCAGAGCGTCAGTTAAAGTTAACTAAGATGCTAATGGAGTGGTGCTCTACGCATTTATTTTATTTGATTTTATGTTAAGGACTCGCCAAAATAATTTTAATTGATTCTATTCAATTTTTTGATTTATTGTATTTGGTTTGGATTGGCATTTTGTGAACCATTAAAACCTATTCAATAAACTGTATCGTACTTAAACTGTTCTGAGTGTATAATGTGCGTACTCTTAACTACTAAATTATCTTGTTGTAAGTTTAATAAATTCGAATTGATCGCCAAATTATCAACCTACTCTTCTGCTACTTTCTTCTCTTTACACATATCTTGCTCTTAATTCTTGTTAATTTTGTTTTTAGTTTCTCAGCGCTTATTTTGAGCGCAGGTGTTGCACGTTTTTAGTTCCATTTTTAGTTGACTCGTAACAGATAATTATATATCTATTAGCATTGCAGCTAAAAAAAACCAAGCAAAAAAAAAGAGGACATGGGGTCTCTTGGGGCATACTTATGATTGGCAGAATCAAAACTGAAGAACTGCCGTACAGTTTTTTCTTTGGTTTAACATTTTGTATGCCATCAACTAGCCGTGTTGCATTATATTAGCCCTTGAAGAATCAGTGATTGGTGTTTAATATTGTGTTTCATATTCGTATTGTCTATATATTGTCTATATATTCCTTGATATCGCAGTCGTAATTCGTAAATATATGTATATTGTGCAAATAAATTTAAACGACTAAACATTCAAAGATAATAATGCATAATAAAATAGTACATAAACAAAATTTTGTACGTAATTGTTAGTCAACCATAAAACAATGTACACACACATACATTCATTTGTCAAATGGTTTGATCCAAAAAATTAAATTTTCAAGGCAATTAATCAGAACAACTTGTAAATAATGCAGCTGTCACTTAAGATGAATATTAAACAATTCCTATATTTTTGTGTAGTTTATTTCCCAGGTAAGGGACCGGAGCCAGAAAATAATCTTTTTTTTAAGAATCAGATATATTTAATTTGCAATTGTCTAGCCATGCATTTGATTTGTTTAGTAATCATCGGACATAAAAGAAAAAATATGTGTGTGTTACGTATTTTAATAAAAAATATAAAATTAAAAATGCTCATATATATACAAACCATATAATACTTTTACTCTTGTCTACCCGACTCTCTCTCTCTCTTTCTCTCTCTCACTCTCTCTCTCTCAGTAATAAGATACTCCTTTTCAATGTTGTAGTTCTTGAGAAATTTGTATTTATGTCTTTTGCTATATAATCGATTTTACAAATAATAAAAACTATGTACTTGTTCATTTCGTATCTCTTTTGTTCTTATTTTTGTTTGGACAGTGCTCTATTTCTATGATATTCTATTTTAAACTTCTAACTAAACAACAATAAAACATGGTACAATCAATTAATAAACGAATTGGCGTATATAACAAGACCGTACACTATTAATGATAAACATCAATCACATAGTTATTGGCGTTGTATTACAAAGTACTTGTTACTCTTACACCTCGGTAAATACGTAACTCTCAGCTCTATTATCGTGTCTAGTGATGTGGATGGATGCGATTTAGCATAGAACCAAGTGGAATTGGCTTCTTGACTTGATTGACGCCATTTGTCACATAGTTCTCCCTTACATTTTTCCTCCCTTAGCTGAAGTGCTAGAGTTGATATTCTTTATATCATACGTAATTGTGATCGCGCAGGTTGCCGTTGACTTAGTTTTGTCGTACAAATGAAAAATACTTTTATTCTTTAGACGGCTCTAGGGTTAGGTGACGGCAGTTTCTGGTTCCGAGCAGTATTGAACTCTTGCTGCCATCAAGACGACAGAAACTTACACAATCAGCAACCGAAACATGTAACCGCAACCATTTCCGAATCCTTCCAATACATAAACATTACGCTCTCTTTTTGTTATATTTTCAAGCTCTCAACTAGTACCTACATACCTGTTTATTCATTTTTATTTTTTGACGTTTCACCTAGCCACCGAAATTTATACCACTCATGGCACGTTTAGGAGTCATCTGATAAATTAACATTATTATGTAAATGTTTTTATTTATTAGTATTCATGTGCGGAACACATGAGCTGTATTAATTATTAATAGAAAAACAAAATGAAAATGCGTGGCCAGGCATAAAACATTTAACTTTTCACTAAACTTATTCATTTCTGTGATAAGATTGTATTCTTAAAACGGAAAATATATTTTTAAAACTCAGCACATTTTTTAAAGCAGTAAACCAAAAAATTCATTACAATTTTGTTCAATTGTTAGTTGGTTTGCTTGCTTTTTCTAATTTTATAGATTATTCAACACCAAACTCTTTGATACCGTAGCTGTCCAAAAACTTAGCGATACATCCACTCAATTAAGACATTTAAACAATGTTTGAACACACGTCAAGGAAACATACCAAAAACAACGGAAACACATGAGAATGAATTTATTTATTTTAATTTTATAGATTTTATTTTTTTTGTGCTTGGCAGCTGATAAAGAGTAATTCGTAAAATATCCGTAGGCTAAAAACATATTCTTAAGAAGCTTAACCACACTCTGTGTAGTTGCCGAGTTTTTGTGCTGTAATAAATCGAAAATAATGATTTATTGTGGCTTAAACTTCAAGTGCGTTTATGTACTTTAAATAAGGATTTTTCGTTTAAAATTGGATATAAAGTTATTATTTGAAACGGTTTATAGAGTATACAGCTGTGCCATCCTTCTTGATTATTGAAAGAATTCACCTGGGTCAAAATGTATAAATATAATACTACAACACTACAAATCATACATCCACATTTCTCTCTGCAAGCTTGTAGTATGATGTGGTTCCAGCTGTCAGAACTCACAAGTAAACAAAAACACATAGAAATACGCATGTTTCAACTGATGCACCCTTTCAGCAAATACATAAGGAATGAGTATGCCTGCCAAATTGCCTGATTGCATGTCAGTAATATAATAGTAACATCAGACTACAGAATATATAAATACTTATTTACACGACAAACACTGTAGAATTTGATTGGATTGAGTGTTTAGAATACAATTAAATATTTTGTAAATAAATACGTAGCAAAAACATATTTAAAATATTGAGAATTGTTAATGCTAAATACGATGCATGTAAGTTGAATTAATTTCAACGGTGTGCGTAGTTAACCTTCAGTGGAACCCATCTTATTTAATATTATTGGTTGACTTGTAAAATACAAATGCAAAGCTATAAGCCAGTCAAATTAAACCTACTTTGCACATGTATGTATGTACGTATTTTTTTAGATTGTTGTTTTTTATTTATTTACAATTTGTTACCTTAACCTTATGTTCAAAGAGAATCTTGGGGTAGCAGACTAAATTCATGCATATTGCAGTGATTCTTCATTTATTTTTTGTGTCAGTTACTATAATTTTCGTATTTTGATTTCATGAAAAGACAATGTAATTTATAATTATAATACTGTTTACTGTTTTAACTACAAAATAACACTGAAAAGTTATAATAGTAATCATAATGGAAACAACTCAGTTGATAACCAGAAAGAATGATATGAAAATATTACCAAGATAAATAAATAAGAAATATGTATACATACATGAAACACAAGTATATAACACATACATAGTACATAAATTCATCAATGAAACACCTGAAACAAGCAATAAGCGCTTCAGCTACTTACACATTTTATGTCATTACCTTAACTGATCAACTGAAAACAAATCACATACACACACACACACACACACACACACACACACACACACACACACACACACACACACACACACACACACACACACACACACACACACACACACACACACACACACACACACACACACCACAACACACACACACACACACACACACACACACACACACACACACACACACACACACACACTCACACACTACACACACACACACACACACATCGAAGAGCATATACACCTGAACATTAAATTCTGCACACGAATACAGCAATAATATATAAGATATGTACACAGCTTACTGCATCCCACTCTTAATAATAAGCCTTATTCTTGCTTTGGATCGATCGACAATTAAAACCAATTTACTAATGTACTTTTCTCTTTGCTACACACTCACCCAAACATGTTCTTAGACATATTGTGGTATGCGGTCATATAACATACGAGTCCGTGTCGCATTTCCTGAAGGACTTTCTGCACGAAGATCGTGAGGATGTCGATGTCGAAGTAGTCTTTTTACATCGGTAAGTTTCCTTTTCGTATTTTGTGTTAAAAATCGATTCACACTAAATATTTATGTTGCCAATTTGTACTGTTGATTTCTTAAAGTATTGTTTCGTAAATATTTTGTATTATATGATAAAATTTAGATGATATCAACGAATACATATCAATTTAATTCAGAATATAAGCAGAAATGTATTGACCTCGCAGCAAGCAATTAATATTTGATTTAATGTGCTGATTGCTTGCTGCTATTTTATATAGAAGGTCTCAATCAGTTAAGTCTATAAATTAATTAGTCAAGCACTTACATTAAGCCTTTGCATTATTCGCATTAGTTAGTAGTTATCACCAAAATTAAAATTATGTTTTTCGTTTTGTAATATACCTAACTTGATTTACATAATTATTAATATAAAACTCAATCATATAATGTAACGAAATGTAAAAAAAAATAGCAAAGAGCCCGACCTGGAGCTAGAGGGACTGCTGAAGCGCCACTATACAACAGTGGCGTTTTTTCAGGGCACTATGATGAACGCAGTCGATCTGGAACGAGTCAAGGTACACAAATACACTTCAAGGCGCAAAGCAAAATTTACTTAGAGAGACACACACCCACACCCTTACATACGTACACAACATACAATAGCATACATACATACACCTATACAAACACACTGAAATACTGGTCAGCCAAGCATTGGAGCTAAGCAGACCAAAAAGTGCCCTGCCGTTTGGTACTCTACTCAAAACCGCGTCACATTGTGAGTGTGCTGTGCACATGTACATACCCTTGTTTGTACATAGGTATTAGATAGTGTCCATAACAACAGTAAGACCACATACAATACATAGTTAGCAGCGGTCGGCTGACAACAAATAGCCAAATGCAAATAACCGTTCACCTCAAGTCCTATAGCCATAGCCTGTCATAATTCGATGCTCGAGCTCTTGCTCACAGCTCTCAGCCACACCCGATTCCCAAAATTTGCTCGTTCTCACTTTTAATTATTTATAAATACATTTGTTTTTAGCATTATTTTTCATATTTTATTATTGACACTTAAGTTCACCTCACGTGACAGATACTTGCAACCCAGTTCCAAACGAAACAACAAGGATGCAAATATCTTGCCTGCAGCTTTTGCAAACATAGCATACATTTAATTATTTGTTTAATTTCTAAATTCCTAATACAATTTAATGAGGAATACAGTTTTATGTAAAACACTTAATTTCACTCTTTTCGATACCTATAGTACATATATAGCAATATTATTAATTTGTTAATTTGGCTTTAAGTAATACTAATATAACCTGCTCAATGGAATGTCCTCATAGCTGAAATTTTATTCAAGTTTGACTTTTGTATTCTATTATTTATTGACTAAAAACTTAGATAAATTTAAATTATATATATGTGTATATTATATATAAATTCAATATAAATATGCATAGCATAGGATTTTATCTTCATATACATATATATTTATATATCTATTTTTTGATACGCTGCACCTTATGCTTTATGAAGAAAACTTTTCAAATTATTGATTTATTTTGTATTTAATGAATTTTAGAACATTACTAGTATTAACATTTTCGTTTTAATACCAGGTTCATTATATGCGCTGCACATTTATACATCTTTAAACTAGATTTAAGATTTCATATCTATATATATGTAATATCTAACAATCAAAATGGGTGTATTACGTATATGTAAATATATACAGAAGTATAGGTATACTTTTAGTTATAAACAAAAACTACTATTATAGATAAGATGAGCTTATGAATCAGATAATTTAAGAAAGCTCGACAACTTAAAACAGGGTTTATAAACATTTACTAGATGTTTTGCAAATAACTAAATATTTTATTTGGAATACTTTATTGTTTAATTATAAATGTCAATTTATTGAGGATATATTGTCGAAAATTCATACACCATTTCCTATCGCAAATATAGTTTTGACCAATTAAGAAACAGTAATTTATTCATTTTCTTAAATTATTATTTATTTCTTTTTTCATTTGCATACTCCAACTGCACAACTATTAAAATATGTGTATTAATTGTGTTATCACACAAAATACTTAAATCTTATGGTCTCAATAAAACTCAATCATCCTAAACTATTGGAACATAAAAATAACACAATACTACTCTAAAAAATTTGTATTATTTTTTCCAAAAAAAAAACTCAAAAAAAAAAACAAAAATTATGTACGTTCAAAAATCTTATAACTAAAAAATTAAAAGTAAACCACCCGATTTGGAACTTGAGGGTTTGTTCAAACGTCATTTTACCACCGTGGAGTTCTTCCAAGGAACCATTATGAATCCGATCGATCTGCAAAGGGTTAAGGTAAAACAACTTTTCATTTTATACGTTTCTCTATGTTGGTTGCTTTCAATTTTCATTTTGTGTATTTTGTTGTCGTTTTATTTTGTGTGTGTTTGCTCTACTTTAACAAAACCAAACTAAACCAGACAACTGCTTATTAACATACGTACATACTTAACAAAACGAACTCTACTTATATAAATGTATTTATATATATATTTATATATATGTATATATATATATATGTATATATATGTATATATATTATATATTTATATATATATGTTACAATGTCAATGTACTTAATTAATGTAATTATGTAATGTTTATATATGTATGTAAATCATAGATATTATTCATTATTCATTGTCGCATACTGATTTGCTGGCTTTAGTTTTGAGTACATTATAGGATCACAATCCATTTGTATCTACATATGTATCAGTTGCTGATTTCCAATAAATTAGAAAAAAACTATAAAAAAAAAAAACAAAAACTATAAAACTCAAATATTAATATCCCATACAATCACGATAACTCTCACAGAGCAACATAAAAACACAGATACACTGTAAATTGTTGACGTTATTGTGTATGCAAAAACTAATCGTGATTCATTGTTAGCTTAAGCATCATAATTTCTAGCAATTTTGAATATGTTAATTCTAAATCTACTTATATATATGTATGTGCTAGGTATATGATTGCATATCAAATAATACAAATATACAATTTTTAGGTATTTTAAATTTATATAACCATTAGAATTGATTATTTCGTGGAAATGGTAGATTATAACATGTAGGGTGTATCTGTTCAGATTTTAATCAAATTTCAGATTACTTGTTATAGTTACCAACTTATTTACTAAAATGCTACTGATTGATGGTTGGTGATGCAAAGCTCAAGCTGTAAGAGCTATGAAACTAAAATTTTGACTATAGTTGCGTCCGATCGGCCTTAAATTAATTTTCAAAGATCTTTATATAAATTCATTTGAAAGGTGTTTTCACTTTTCGAAAAATCTAAACTTAATTTTAATTTGATTTCGGGTTCCAAATCACGGTCTAGACTTTTTAAAACTTAGATGGATCGGTTTGTCGTGACTGACTGAATGACAGAACTGTAATCATCGTACAGTCCAAACCGTAAGAGCTACAAAGCTGAAATTTGTACTGGAGCTTCCTTTTGGGTCGAAAGTGAGCACTAAGACGGGGGCTTGGAAAATACGACTTGCAAGTGTAGAATGTGGTTTGTAGAAAGTTTGTATGTAAAACCTAAAAAACAGCTCAGCTATATGATTGCTTTAGAAACGCGACGTCATCAGCCTGTGCAGCCATATAGTGTGCCTGGGCATCGAGCTAACAAGTGCAGCAGTGACTGTCAATTTAAAATTTGGTTAATTAAATTTGTAATAATTCACAAAGAAAAAATCGATAATAAAACCAACGAGGAACATTAAAATGCTGGGCTAAAAAATAGTAGTCAAAAATGTTCTTTTGTTTTAATTGTTCTAATTGGCAGGGTCGGAGTAGTCGATTGTTAAGCGTAGTTGAGTAATCATCGGCATATTAAGCATAAGGCTTTTAGGGCTTGCGAACGAGAGAAGATAAAAGTCTCTACACTTTATTTTTAAATTGTTATTCGAAAAAAGAGTGTTAATATCTTCATACCAAAGTTTTCCTGTTTGTTTAATTAGGGCGAGACTATTTATATGACGAAAAGAAAAGAATTAATATGAGCAACGGGAGCAGTAATTAGCTTCATACAAGTGGAACAAGGGGGATATTGAATGTGCTAGGACGCCTGATGTAAAAAACTAAAGTTAGATCTCCCGGTACCGTTTGTATTTTCATCATTATTCATTTGACCCCAGCGACGTCGGAATATTGAATATTGAGATTTTGTGTTAAATAATTTTTTTTTAAAATTAAAAATTTATTGAATACCAGAATAACAAATCGGGATTTGATAGTATACTTATATACTACTATACAGTTCTCACAAGATATGCCGTAACAGAATTAAGGAACGATTTTTGTTTTAATAATTTGTATGATGGTGTTTTAATAATTTGTATGGTGATGTATGCAAACTTTTATGACGATATCTACAAAACTGAGCGACTAGTTCTCATAATAACAGACAGACGGACATGGCTACATCGTCTCGGCTGTTGATACTGATCAAGAATATATATACTTGATGGGGTCAGAGAGGTCTCCTTTTATGCGTTACACATTTCGAGACTAAATTATAAAACCCTCTGCAAGGGTAAAATGAAAACATTATTTCTTCAAGATTTAATCAGCTCGGAATATAAAGTAAAGGGAACAACAATAAACTTGAGTAGTTAATAATAAAATAAGCGAAATATAAAATAAAAAACTTCAATTTAAAGGAGAATAATATGATTAAATTAATTTACGTAATATATGATTTTTACGTTAATCATTTTTTGGTATCAATGTTTCGCCAATGTTAGAGTATAATTTTTTTTTCGTTAACATAAATACCTTTTAGTGTATGTTATATACAGGTAATAAGCGCCTTCAGTATTCAAGTCGTTGTAATTATATATAACAAATATACATCTACTCGGATACATTGAATCGATATCTCGTTTACCTGCATTTGAGTTTTCGATATAAATTAAATTACTCATGAGGAATGCCTTCTCTTCTCTCTAAGTATAAGTCAATAACAAATATTAAAGTCCCTACTTTCAGTTCTGTTGTTATTGTTGTATGGCAAATGCATGCGCGCCTTTTGTCTATCATTAGTCTATCGCTGTTCTAATATCTATTGTTTTATATTGTACATTGCATGCTGCATGACCAGCCTAAAGGAACATACGTCATATATTATGTAATAGCCATTTGAGTTTAACTCTTTGTTTTGTATATTGCTTTAATATTTAGTTTTGATTCTGAACACCCTGAACGACACGAGTTCTCTGTATACCTCTACTTCCACCCATGCACCGAGCGTTCGCTTTCTGAGTTGTGATTATTGTTGTTGTCTGTCACCTTTGAACTGGAAGTTGAACTTAATCGCAAAAAAAAACTAGCCACGAATTTAACTCCAACAAATTTTGTAACCGCTTATTGTCTCCCTGTCGCCGGTGTTGCCAAAGCTAATCAAAGCTAAGTACTTAATGTGAATGCAACAAAACAGGCATCGTGAAATTATGCCCAATATTATATACAACAAAATTTATATATATATATATAATTAAAACCCACACACTTCACATGTGACATTTGATCTACTTGTACTATACTTAGTTGTGCAGTCAATGTACGTGTTAACCGCTTACTAACTTTACCTGTTTAAATACGACAAATCAACAATCACTCATTAACAACACCCAACCATACCTTACAAAACATATAATGTACTTACTTACAATACAACAATAAGGCACAGACACTTTGAACTTAGGTTAACATAACAAAACTTACAACAAACGCCTATAGCTATAGCAGAGCTTGGCTTTTACAGAGACATAGACAAATGACTAATATTTATTAAGCCTTTAAGAAATCCATTGCTAATCAACCAATACTCTACAAAAGGTGCATGAAGCTGATGCCTGCCTGGTGCTAGCTAACAAATATTGCCAAGATCCCGACGCAGAAGATGCTGCCAACATAATGAGAGTTATCTCTATTAAGAACTACAGCGATGATATTCGTGTCATCATCCAGCTGATGCAGTACCATAATAAGGTAAAAGCCCGCTCGGTCCGTAAAAACTTACAGAAAATGAAATAAAAACCCGATATCTCCAGGCGTACTTGCTGAACATACCTTCGTGGGACTGGAAACAGGGCGATGATGTCATTTGTCTGGCCGAGCTGAAGTTGGGTTTTATAGCGCAGAGCTGTTTGGCACCTGGCTTTTCGACAATGATGGCAAATTTGTTTGCCATGCGTTCCTTTAAGACGGTAAGTATTGCCAAAGTGCTTAACACGACGGCTACTCCTTACAATATAACAGACACAAGCACACAAGTGGGGTGTATTGATATCCAGAAAGCAGGACAACGATATTAGCTTTTTGATGACAATTGCTATATGAAGAGAAGAGAAGGGGCTGCCACAAGTCAGTCAACCAAATAAACCATCAATCTATATTATGTATGTACGTCTTTAACCCCATAGTCGCCAGAAATGCAATCTTGGACAAATGATTACCTGCGCGGCACTGGCATGGAAATGTACACAGAAACATTGAGTCCTACATTTATTGGAATACCATTTGCTCAGGCCACTGAGTAAGTTGCGCAGCGGGCAGTCCAATTTCTATATGCTATAAACATATTCGTATCGTATCGTATCTACTTATTATACTACCTACTATTCAACTATGTACTTGTTAATCGTGCAGCGTTGACAAATATAGTACCAACAACAAATACAAAAACAAAACAAAAAAAACAATTCAATATATAACACTCGCATAAACATATCCACAGAAACACACACACACACTCACTCAGCTTTTATTATCTTCTGATAAGTTCTAATTGATGTTGTAAAAGTTTTACTTTGTCTGCTATGATTTTGGGAGACTTTTAAGATTCTGGTCTTCAGAAACGTTCACATTGATGTCAACGTCTGGAGATGCGTAAACATGTAAAATTGCCTGCCTATGTTGTTAAATTTTGATTTGTGTTTGAAGAGACATTAAACACAGACATACATACCTACACGTGGAAGTACATTGTGAAAATTAGTCGGTGTTTTATGCTAATTCTTTGTGTACTTAATGTTTTCAATGTTTAAAAGCCTTCAGTGTTTGCAAATACAAATGACATCCTTGCTGAATATTCTTTTCTTTTAAACTAAGTTCGCAGTCAGACCTCTGTGCTAAAAACGAAAAAATAAATAAAATAAAAACCCCACACCCTTATAAAACACACACACACACACACACACACACACACACACACACACACACATCTGCAATTACACAACGAAATCGAGAGCATTGTTAAACGCTAATTGTATGGTATCTTTGTGTGCTGTGCTCTCTAGATTCAGAGCATAACTATGCAGCGTGTATTTAAGTTGATGTTCAATATTTATTTATTGTTTTGACTTCTGTTTGAATTATGCTCATTTGATATGACTATATTATGGTTTTGGTTGAAACTCTATAAGCCACACGTTGTTCGTAATTCTCCAAAAAGGTGGCTGGTACTTAGCCTATGTATCTAGAATGCTGTCAGTTAAGTTAGGGAAGTGTAAAAATATGTCGCAAGCTAAACAGTTGAACCTATGAGAACTATGCCAAATCTAATGCTTATACCAGATAAAAACCTAAAAACGCACACACCCCACACATGCACACACACTGCTCGGATGATCAGATATTATAAGTGTGCCCGTATGTACATATGAAAACAGAGAAGCCCGCATTTGAGTCCGTGAATAACGCACAAGCCGAACCCAAACTGTATGCCCAATCGAGCCCTGAGCCTGATCGATAGCAATGCGCATATGAGCCAAGTTATTCTCAACTTCTACTCAATCAACAACAACAAAAACAAGAACAATAATAACAAGAACATGTACAAGAAACAAACAACCGACGCGTAGTTACATTAGCGAACTTACTAAATCCAAACCACAACAAAACCATTTTCTAACTTTCAGTCACCAGACACACAGGCCTGGCAAAATGATTATCTTCAAGGTACAGGGTGTGAGATGTACACCGAAACTCTATCACCTTCATTTACCGGCATGACATTCCCACAAGCCAGCGAGTAAGACTCCAAAATGAGAAATTAGCAAAACAAAGTTTACAAAAATAAAATAAATACAAAAATCTAAAAATGTTATTAAAGAAACAACTGTATAAAAAATACTTTTGCCTTGTACAATATGTTCAATTCAATATTTTATTTATATGATTTGTCAAATTGAATTCTGTTCCGTTTGATTTATTCCTTCCACTATATACTAACTTGTAACAAACTACCTTTTGTCCCTATTTCTAAATACTTACTACTATTACCTACTCGTACTTCTAATTTACTTACTTAGTTTTATATACCAGTATGAAAAGATCTTTACAAGTGAAGAGAACTAAGCAGCAAACATTGATCTTCTTCTTGTATATTAAACAATATTACGTATAATTTGATTTTTGGATTAACAACCGCATTGCATCCGTTCGCATAAAATAGTAACCAGCCACAAAGTACAAACAAAGTTTAGAACATATTTATCTAGACACCGCTCGCTTGTTATCAACTCCGCTCCGCTCAACTCCGCTCCGATTAGTCCCAGTTCAAGCCCGATTACTGATTACATAACAGCAAATCGCAATTACAATATACATGCATACATACATACATATGGGTACATAATCACATATATCAGAAATTATACGTTAACCAAAAGAGATAAAATTACAGCATCTGATGAATTATAACCAATCCAATCTTTTTTTGCATGTACAGAGTGATTTTTTTGTGCCACTTTGACTCGCCTTTACCCCACACGCTAAATAACAGCCACAATCTCAGCAACCAAGTGTACTCCATTGAATTAATAAATATAACAATTCAGCTCATTTTTATAGTAAACTATTTCTTTGTTACATTTAAGCATTTTGTCTAGCATGTGGTTTTGTATGTATGAATATGAAGTGCAAATATTTTTACAGTGTACGCTTTCAACGCACCTACACAAAGCGCATGCCCAGTTTGATACTGTTCAGCTACACTTTATAGTGTAGTAATATTTAATACGCTTAATTAAGTATATCTAAAAGGTAGAATACTTCCTGGACATGACTCGAGTAACACAAATTTCCTATTTATTCCGCTGCCTATAGATTGTGCTTCTCCAAACTTAAGCTCCTGCTGCTTGCCATTGAAATCAAAGGCGCTGAAGAGGGCGCAGACAGCAAAATTTCCATAAATCCGCGAGGCGCCAAAATACAGGCAAATACGCAGGGTTTCTTTATAGCACAAAGCGCTGATGAGGTCAAGCGGTAAGTCGTGTAAGTCATACTCATACCAAGATAATCAAGCTATAGTCTGGTTATAGTGCGTGGTTTTACTGCAAAGCCTGTCATGAGGACATCAAGGATGAGACGCTCATTAAGAAGTGCAAATGCAAAAACTGTAAGCATACTTTTTTACCATTTTATTGACACGAGAAGACAGTATTTATGTCTATGTATGTCTTTGGGTTTAATTTATTTCTATTTACTTCTTGTATTTCATTTTTTTGTGCATTTAATTTTTATCGAGAGTTCCGTGAACAGCTAAAACTAAAGTAAACTTTAAGTGCAGGAAATTAAATAGTTCTAAGTTTTTCCTTAGGTTCAGGCACTTTATAAATAAGCAGCGTCTTGGCAGGCGCAGTAAAATAAATCACAATATACATATATATATATATATGCATCTATAAATGCATACATATATGAAGATCAAGATTGATTCCTACACATGTAATACTTAATGATATATATATATACATATTATAAATATATAATATATAAATATAAATATAAATATATATATATATATATATATATATATATATATATAAATATATAAAATAATATATAAATATATATAAGTATATATATATAACTATTCACTATAACTATTCAAATTTTGCCTTTATCCACAAATAAACAAATTTAATTTATGAAATAACTTTGTAACACATATTTGAAATATGTTGTGGTGCTTCAACTGTTTTGATGATGACAACCCTAACAACGACATAGATCTTATAACCTACTTGGCAATCATATAAAAATTAAACCAAATAAATTTAGGTTTTTTGACTTCACCTGTGCACATACCCAAGTACACAAGTATGTATGCGCATGTGTGCAGATGTATGTCAAATATACATATGAGCTGAAGATCAGATATCAAATTAATTGTGATACATAATAATAAAAATAAATGTCATAACTTTGTCCCACAGTGACTGTTCAGCCCAGGAGCAAATTTGAAGACTTAGGTAAATCTAAATTGTTCAACATTTTATCCCAAAACACACTAACATAATTTTACAATACAACAACGACCTATATCACAACCATCCACTGAATTTTAAAGTTGTCCCCCCAATTCCAACTTTGTTTAAAGTACGCAAATTATACACTTATTTGTTTGTACATTTAATACAACAAATACTATAATAATTCTCCTATTTTTGACCGAAAATTTTCTATCCTCTTTTTTAATCCTCAATTATACTTATACATATATACTGTGCACTTCACCCGTTTCAGGTACACTACAAATTTAGTATTTTTTATTAAATTTTTCCAACAAGTTTTTTATTTGGATAGTAAACTGTGCAATTAGTTAAGACTGTGCACGTCAAGAGTGTGCCAATGATCCGACCCTACCCTAGTAATTTACACATAATTATCTACTATATACATCTAACGAACAACTGTCCCGTCCCGTAACTTTGGATATTGAACAGTTATTTTTGGTCAGTTTTTATTATGATATGTATACGCCTCTTCTCTTATATAATCCCCCACAATACAGAACAAATTCAAATACTTACTATGGATACATATCTATCTATAATCACAATAATTGCATACTACATACAAGTATACAAGTTTCGGATGGCTTACACAACGTTCTCTTCAACTGTAAATATGTTTGTGCAATATGCAACCCATGTTTTTGGTTTAAATATTTCCAACAAGTACCGCCACAGAAATGCAACCATTATAACTTCTAAATACTTATAATTATTTTGTGATAACATATAATACTTTTTGTTGGTAGGACAGTTTCTTTTTAAATTAATGTAAAAAATTCGCGGCTGTGCGTTCCGTTTTGGAAAGTAAATTCTTGGAGAATCAATTTGATATTGACTCGAATAAAATACTCACAGAACACATTACATAAAATTAAAAGAATTTTTTTTTTTCGCATGGAAAGCAAAAACATGCATTTTTTTGTTTTTTCGAATAATTTGGAAGAAAACTTCAATTGCTTTGGTAAAAGATCTACATTAATAGCCAGAAATTTTCAAAGTACATATAAATATTTTTAATAAGAATTTCAAAGTGCACATTTTACTTAAAATACACTTATACAAATTTTCTCTCCCTACCTCTCTTTAACAAATATTGCTACCCTTTATTACTTGTACCTTATATGTGTTGATGGAAAAGAAAATAAATTAAAGGAGTGCATGTAACTGAGCACAAAACTAATTAAAAGTTCCTATTACACTTTCACGATTAAAATCCTTGAAACTCTATTTTTAATAAATATTTTTCAGTCACTTTTGCAGCTCTGATTTTCAAGTCCTTTACTAATCAGATTTTCCCAACTTCAATTATATAAATACAGTCCTATTTCATGTTGTAGCAATAGGTTATTCAAATGCTGCATCGTTTTCTGCCACCAGTTAAAGTCTATAAGTATCTTAAGTTCCTTATCTAGTACTTGTCGTGGCGTTAATCCCACTAACACAATAATTAACTTTTTATATATAATATAAATGTAAAAAAGTACATAAGCGTAGCTGTCCCTCCCAACTAAAAAGTGTAAATAATTTAAACGCAGGTTATGCTGGATACTAAAGCTCCTATAGCATATCCATTAAGCGCGTTCTTCATCATTTTACATAAGTCGCGTAACTAAAATTAACGTTTATGTATTTGGTTTATATGTAGTATACTTACTATACACATAAATAATTGCGTGTTATGTATCAATAATTTAGATTCAATTTTCTCAAGTAGTTAGTAAGTTTGCAATGTTTCGCGTTGCCAGAGTCTGGCTTAAAATATTATTAACTACGCCAATGCGTTCCCGACTGGGAATTCAATGTATGGCTTTATGTGGATGGGCAAATAAATACGGCAACAATGTTAATATGCCTAGTATTAAGTATGGATCCCAAAGATCTGTTTAGTTGTGTGTACGTTTTATGTGGTCCTGTCACTTGTATATAAGAATATGAAATCCCTAACCGTCTTACAGATGTGGGCATGATTATGATGCAGACAGGGATGGTCAACCAAGGGATCACATCAGTAATGAATACAATGGAGGGTACGCTTTTAATGTAAAAATAAAAAGAAAAACAACAACAAAAACTCCATTAATTTTTTCGAGTTCGGTGCCTATATTTTAATATCATGCCAAGCCAAAATATTTATTTGTTGCCGCTAAAGTGTTGAACCGCATACCTAATTGTATTTAAATACACATTCCAAAACATATCTCCGATTATCGCCAAGAATTCTCCTTTAATTTTTTCTCCAATTTTCCGTTTGGAATTGTCGATTTGGCAGAATATTGTTTTGGAAAGTGCATATTCGATTCGGGCTACCGAATGTATATCAGAAACATGTTTGCTGTGTAGCCAACAAATAAACTAAAAACTCTTAAACATATTTTAAATAAACATGCTTGCAGATTAAAATAAAAATATTCATAAATGCCAGTATTAATCAGCATAATAAACCCCTTTCAATCGTGTACGTAAATGCCAAATCAATGTAACTCTTACTTGTGCTAAAAGCCCCAGCTGCTAAATGCGAATTCCCGCATATATGTATGTATCTGCCATAAAGCGACCCCTCGCCCTGCTTAACTTAAAAGGATTATAATAGTACCAGTAACAGTAAGTGATGAAAGGCTGAGATCGAGTAGTTGGGAGATGTCTTAGAACAGGTCTATCACTTAACTGCAAAAGTTTTACATTTAAGCAGAGTACTAAATTACATTCTGTTGCTCTTTCTGTCGTTCTATTGTTTCGCTCTATCGTATACTCAGTATAAATATTACATTCAATATAGAGTTCAATTAGCTTGCAATGATTTCCGATTTGATTCTTCTACGTGGCGCGCATAATATCATATCAAGAAAATCATGACTAGCTGATATTCTATACATACTAACAATCATTTATTACATACCATATATTAAATGACAGTTCAAGTATAACGTGTGCCGTGTGACTTAATTATATATTTTTGTAACCAACCTTTTGTTTTTTTAGGTAATTATGTTACATTCATTTCTGTTTATATATTACATTTATAAAATATATATATAATTTATCTTATAAATTATATTACTGATTGATGATTTGAACTGAATATGCAAACCAACTATCATTACCTTACCATCATTTACCTATTCATGCATATCCTATACAATTCTGTTTTCATGAAACAAAACAGTGGCCACCTTCCGGAAAGGCGTCCGAGCCGTACAAATGGTTGGGCGTGCAAGTACGTATAAATTTCTGCCTATTCTCTCTCTCTCTCTCTTTATCTTTTCCTATAAACATACATATAACTTCTCCATATATCTACTCTACTGTAACTGTATAAGCATACGAAACAAACTAATTCAAAATAATAAAACATAACGACAAACATAATGCCAAGTTAAAACAAATCAACATCTCAACATACTTGTTACATCTACTAACCAAGTGAAAAGTCCTCTTATCTCACTAACTTAAGTTAATTGCTATTGCTAAGCAGTTCAGATAGGCATCAAGTCAGCTGAACATTAAGAAATTCCATTAGTTCTAGAGCCATGATTAAACTTACATCATTTACTCAATACATTCGGATGTACAAGCCACACAGATTGTTGCACACCACACACAGATACACATAATATAATCGTTTCTTCTCGTTCGTTCTCGTAATTGTGTACTTTTCATAATCAATTTTTACCTTACCTACTTAGTGTGTGTGCGTGTGTAGTTAAGTCGCTAGATAAAATACAAATTCAATATGTTTCTACAAAATAGTCAACTGAATATAATTCAAAAGTTGCTTTCGTAAACCTTAATCTGACGTATTTTCGTATGTATTCCATACTACAATCTTGTAACCATTAATAAAACATATCTTTTATATATCCATATATCGTATTATGTACACATTTTTTGTATAGCAGTAAACACGAATCTCTCATTTTATTTATATTTTTATATTTATTTTCGTCGTTCTATTCATCAACTTCGAAGCTAAATCTTAAATAAGTCGCGACATTTTCGTACATGCTTTTCATATTTGTGAAAGTAAAAGGTTCAGCTTTGAGCTAATTGAGGCCTCATCTGGATAAATGTAATACAAATAGCATATACACTTAAATCAATCAAATATTTACCCCATCTTTCATTTCACTTATGTACAATACATACAACACTGTAATACATTTTATGTTATTAATAATACAAAGAAGAAAAAAAGAAATACATAAATTTCTGACGCTGGGGTTTGCTCTTTTTATATATACAAATATCATACGTCTAAATATTCCCCTACTTGTACATTTACTCGTATGTACCAACTACTTCTTCTACTGCTACAATACTTGTACTATGTATTTATATGTCTGTGTGTGTGTGTAGAAGACGATGAATACTCGTTGTCAAGTAAGTCTAATTAAATCAATAATTCAACTCAAATATTCAACTCATATACTCAAACATTGATTTAAAAGCCACATTAGTATTTGTTCCAATTGTTTATTGAAATTCACAATTTAGAATTTACACATAAAACTGTATTTTTTTTGTGTGCCAGTGCACGTTCCTTACTTTTTATTTAAATCGTATGTGTATTCTTTCTTCCTAAATCACCTCAAACTTTTTCGGGTATCGTTTGTGTTGTAACAAGTTCTACGGTTTAAGGAATTTCTTGAAATATAAAAGCCGCAAAATAATTACTTTAAAGAGTTACTACTACGATTATATATGTGCATTCTGAGGAAGTATAGCATTTGTAGAACAACTAACATGCACTTTTGGTCATGATCACCAGCTGCCTTGCCAATCGCCAATGCACAACGTTACCAATTAAGGAGCGAGCTTTCGAAACTTTTTAAGCTTCATGTCTTAAGCAGTTAAATTGCATACTGTTCTATCGAATGTGCTGAACAAAGTGTTAAATTAAATTAGAACTATGGAGATATTAGTTAAGTGAGTTCTAGGTAGTAAAGTTGTGAAAGAGTTCATTAAGTGGGTGTTAGATTTCCATTGAATAACAGTTGAACTAAATGCTTTTCAAATTTGAACCACCAACCGATGGAGGAAAAGTTTATGCCATATCCTTGCCAATTATGCTTTCACTGTGGCAAATTAATACTTAAGATTTTACTTCACTTATCTAGTGCTTGTTCTCTTGCTTTTGTAGTTTAGTATTTTACCTATGTAGTATTTTACCTATGTACCTTACCTATTGCTACCCGTTTTATACTCTTATAATTATTTGCATGCTTGAAATGGCCTTGATTATAAATGCATCTTTAACAAAATGTATAATTGTGTATTGAAGTCCCAAACCCAATGAAAAGGCCTGAAATCATTCCCCAGATCACATTGATCAATTTTCCTTACTTTTGTATGACCTTCGGTTGAACACATGTTTAAAAATTTCTAGCCCGTCTAATTTGAATATGATTTTAAGATTGTGTTCTTGCTTTATGTACAACCAATCGCAACTATTACAATTTTAGTTAATACAAACACAGTATTCCCCTGATTATCACAAAAAAAAAAAAAATAATTGATGTACACACCAGCAAACTCAAAATTATGAGCTTCACATAAAAAAGCATTGTCTCTTACACAAAAACAAAACGAATTTGATTACCTGAAGCTGTGCGATAACAATACCAAAAATATCTTACAGATGAACACCATCCTGCACCCACATTTACGCCACCAGAGCTTCCCAAGCGGGTGCATGTGCGTGGATCTGTATCGGGTAATGTCTCAATATCAGCTTGTATAAGACCTAGAGCCACAACAATGTTACATATGATTTACGTACATATAAGTCTGTCAATTCTGAAAATGAAACGAAAGAGAAAGGTTATTTTGAACACAGAACGCTCGCGACCCTTACAGATATTGTTACACCAAAGTTACACGAACCTCTTTTATTTATATGTTCGTTAGTCCTAATTTGCCTTATCATTGCCTTATCATGTGCTGCTGAAAGTACGCCCAATGTCCCAAAAACTAATTTAAATATATCATAAAAAAACCAAAAATTCAATGAATAAAAGGAACTGATCAAGTATAATTAGCTAATTGATTTTAGTTTGTATTGTTTTGCATAATTTTCAACAGAAATTGTTATTTGGAATATAAAAACGACAAATAATGTTTTCAATAAATGTATATGTTAATATAACTATCTAAAAGAACTGCTAACTCTATTTTACCAAAAGCTTGTTCTAAACAGTCATTTGAATTCGATATTGATGTCTACTTATTTGAAGCATTTTCACAATATTTCTGTAAACATTTGTGTGTGTGTTGTGTTTGCATACATATTTGCTTGTTAAATACACTGTTTATTTCTTGAGTCCACACACATGTCAGAGCTGTAAAGCCTAAACTAAGAATAGAACTGCCTTCCAACATAACTAACTAGACACTTACTTACACGCGGCTCAAAAATACCTTTCTTAATTAACTTGACCGATGCATATATGACTAAATAAAATTTTGCTATGCACTCTGCCAACAGTATCAGAAAATTTAAATCTTACTAATCGAATGTATCTGCTAAAACTTCCTTTCTCTATCTCTTTCTCTCTAAAACTGCTGTAACTGCTGTCACCTAACAAACTGCCACTGCGAAACGCAACTGCCACAGGTGATATTACACGAGACAGAGAAGATACAAATCGTAAGTTTTCAAATACTTACCTCAGCTCTTTCTACAGCCTGTAGCTAGCTAATCAATGGTCAATGACTGTAACTCAACTTCTCCGTTTTCCCTGGCTCTTTCTTCATTGCAGTTCTCAATCGGAATGTGCGACGCCCGAACGGCACTGGCAACGGTACAGGAGGCATGCATCTCATGAGCAACACCGCCGCTGCCGCAGCGGCCGCTGCAGCTGCGGGCAAACAGGTGAACAAGGTAAAGCCCACGGTGAACGTGAGCCGGCAAGTGGAGGGCCAGGTCATATCGCCATCGCAGTATAACAGGTGAGTGGCCGGAATTAAGGCAAACTTAGCATAATCCGAGCGATACATACATAAAAATATGTACTCAACGGGCGGGGGAGCACGGAACCAACTACACTTATACACAAGAGAGGGCACTCGGCTTCAGTTACAAAGTATTTATATGGCAAAGCAAATCGATAATCGAGCAAGATAAAAATCAGACACTTATGGCCTTCGCTGTTCAGCTGTATTCTTTGATTTCTTGTGTTTCCTACTTTGCGTTACAACAAAACTAAGCGTTATACTACATACCATTTGAGTTTGGTCACTTTTAATTTTTTTTTATTCTGTACCTAACAAATAACACCCAGTTCGATGGCCTTTAATGGCTATGCCTCGTACATATGTAAATGCTCTTTATATATTGATTAATCTTAACACCTTAATAAACTGTCTCACTTACACGTTATAAATTGACTTAAAAAAATAAATACAAAAAAAAAAGAATAATAATAATAATAATAATAATTATTTAAAAAAAAATAAAAGAAAAAAACAACAACAAATTTTAACAAGTTTATATGTATAAAAAACGAACAACATTTTGTTTCAGGCCACCAGAAAATGATGCTAACCCTTATGCGGGCTATCAACTTGCTTACGAAGTTAAAAAGCTCATGTATGCGTCCATAATTTCCTAGAAATTTTACTTAAATCAAATTATAAGAAGCCAAAAGCGTTTTTAACTACTACTACTACTATAACTTAGTATTCGTAAATACTTATCCAACTATGCGCATTTTGTTAAACACACATTAATTGGTTGATTGAAAGCTATTCCATACATCAATACCAAATACAAATCTTAACTATTCGTATGCGTAATTTTGTCACGTTGCTGTCTGTGTGCGTTTATTTATTAATTCGTGTTTGTGTATGTGTGCCTATGCACCAAACGATTCTTACATATGATTAATACATACATATACATATGTAAATTCACATAATAATTTTTCAATATCAGATGCGCCATCTTGCCTATCAACATTCAAATCTCTCTCTTTATTAAAAATATTATCTCAATTTACTTTCTTATTTTCTAGTCTATGCGTGCCACTAACTATACCTATACCTATACCTATACCAATACCTATACCTATACCTATACCTATACCTATACCTATACCTATACCTATTCCTATTCCAATACTTATACCTATACCTATACCTATACCTGTACCTATGCCTATACATATACCTATACCAATATCTATACCCATACCTATACCTATACCTGTATCTATATCTTTAGCTCTAGTAAATACATTTGTACATTTTGACTCAATGCAACGAAAAACTTGTGTCGTGTAATCGTATTAGTACTTAATTGTAAATAACAGTAACTACAACTTTGCTGCATTTCAATTGCTTCTGTCATTTCTTTATGATGTGTGCGTGTTTGTGTGTGCGAGAACATCAACTCACGTTAATACATTTTTAATTGTAAACCCAGACCTGTTTGCCTGAATTCTAGACGATGTGCTCTCAAAGCTAATAGTAATTCGGGCACTTTTAATACAGATCCCATTGGCTCAAGTCAAATCAATCCCATTTTTAATATGAAATTTAAATAGCCATGCAAAAACGGATATAACGGAACTAATAGCAATAGAACAATTAAATAAGAAAATGTAAAAAACTATTTTTTCCAGGCAATTTTCGTTTTGAAAAGAACTCCAACAGATTATAAAAAATTAGCAGTAGCTTACTCCTAACGAAGTTTTAAACAAAGTCTATTCTTCTAGTGTATATCTTACTTTCTTACAGCTATCATTCAAAGATACTTTGGTTTACTAGTCAACTTGTCTACGAGAATAGGCATCAGGGTTGTGATCTGTGTGTACACTCTCTGCCTTTCACTGGCTTTTCTATCCTTTTTGGTATTCACTTCTTTGGCACTTTTGTTTTGATTTTATTCTGACTGCAAACAGTGCACAATGTCATAGTGTTGTGCTGTGCACTCCGGCGGAGGCAGCAGTTGCATGTGGTGTGTCCCTTGTGCATGCCCCTCTATAACCATTTGCTATCTTAATACACCCGAGGGCGGCCGCATGTGACCTCTACTAAGTTAGCCGCCATCGCCGGTTGATTCCGAAAATGTTTCGCGTAGTTGAACTTTGATTTTAAAACATATTCTAATGTATTCGTTTTGGCATTTGTGTTTTGATACTCGTAATTTCGCAACTATTGTTATTAGCACAAGCTCTTCCTCTTCTCTCTTTCAACATACATACATATATAAATATATAACTCTAGCTATCTATCGTATCAACGACACTCTTTTTAAATTTTAAAAGCTCCAAGTACTCGTACTCAAGTATTTATATTTTTTGAACGAAACTCGTACTCGTAGCGTTACGAACAACACTTTGCATTTGGATGTAGCGTTTATTTTAATTGGTTCGTAATCAGATATGCCATGAAATTGAAAGAAATTCCCAAAATTTTGCAAACGATTTGGACCAAACAGCTTATAAATCTCAATAATTTGCTTGCCTCCAGGCCAACGAGTCGCAGCTCCGGCACTGGGACACAAAATCAAAATGGCGGCGTGTCACTGCCAGCCGGCATAGCAGACGATCAGTCGAAGGACTTTGATTTTGAGAAGACGGAAATGAAGTACGATTCAACAGGCATGTTTCACTGGAGTCCGGCAAAGAGCTTAGAAGACTGCATATTGGTAAGCCAGAGCTCCACAAAGATCATCTGCGAAGTTACTATTTAAAATTTTCCTTCGCAGGATCGCAATCAGGCGGCCATGACAGTACTAAATGGCCATGTGGTTGTTTGCCTGTTCGCCGATCCGGACTCACCGCTAATTGGGCTACGGAATCTGGTGATGCCGCTGCGCGCATCTAATTTCCATTACCATGAGCTCAAGCATGTGGTAATTGTGGGCTCCGTTGACTATATCCGACGCGAGTGGAAAATGCTACAGAATCTGCCTAAGATTTCGGTGCTTAATGGATCGCCGCTCAGTCGTGCCGATCTGCGGGCGGTTAACGTCAACCTGTGTGATATGTGCTGCATATTGTCTGCAAAAGTTCCTAGTAACGACGATCCCACACTGGCCGACAAGGAGGCCATCCTGGCCTCGCTTAACATTAAAGCCATGACCTTTGACGACACGATTGGCGTGCTGAGCCAACGCGGACCGGAATTCGACAATCTGAGCGCGACCGCCGGCAGTCCCATTGTGCTGCAGCGGCGCGGCTCAGTGTATGGCGCCAATGTGCCAATGATAACAGGTAAACTGCATCGCACTAAGTTGGCCGAGTTTGCGAACGACCGAACGTAAAGCGTCCAACCTCAAGCGGTGTAAATGGGGCTGACCAAGTAGTGGGCGGGCTTGGTGGGAAGAGGGTCAGGGTTGTGCTACGCTCAGCCCCAGTACACTGTCTAGCTAATGTAAAAGAGGTGCTGTACTAATGGACACTATGTTTTATTGTTGGTTGTCGTTTAAAGAACTGGTCAATGATAGTAACGTGCAGTTTCTCGATCAAGACGACGATGACGATCCAGACACAGAACTATATCTCACGCAGCCGTTCGCCTGTGGTACTGCGTTCGCTGTGAGTGTGTTAGACTCGCTGATGTCCACGGTAATGCCATGTTCCCAATCCCATTCTTTCCCATCCGACCCATTTAACCACCTTAAACTCTGTCTCTCTTCCTCTCTCTCACTCGCTGTCTTACACGCACCTTAGACATACTTCAATCAAAATGCCTTAACGCTGATCCGATCGCTGATAACAGGCGGCGCCACGCCCGAATTGGAACTAATCCTGGCGGAGGGTGCCGGCCTGCGCGGAGGATACAGTACAGTCGACAGCCTGAGCAACCGCGACAGGTGAGACTTACGTTTAATTAGGCACCTTCCGGATAATTAAATGCGATTATGTGTTGCACGATCAGATGTCGTGTGGGCCAAATCTCATTGTATGATGGACCGTTGGCGCAGTTTGGGGAATGCGGAAAGTATGGGGATTTGTTCGTTGCTGCTCTTAAGTCGTACGGGATGTTGTGCATAGGACTATATCGGTTTAGGGATACTAGCTCTAGCTGTGACGCGAGCAGCAAACGATATGTAATAACTAACCCACCCGACGACTTCTCATTACTGCCAACAGATCAGGTAAGAATGGCAAACCCTTAATGTATGCAATGCTACGTGCTCACATATTAATTCCCATAGGTATTCGTTTTAATGCAATTCGATCCGGGCCTGGAGTATAAGCCGCCCGCAGTGCGTGCGCCTGCTGGCGGTCGCGGCACCAACACACAAGGCTCCGGGGTCGGTGGGGGCGGCTCCAACAAGGATGATAACTCTTGATTGTTACTGTGTAGCGCCTTAACTGATGGTCCTTATTCGTACATTTGAACGATGGAGAAGTTAATTGTGTATAGAGCATCGCATTTATGGCATAAATATTGGCATAAGATCTTGTTAAAATTGCGCACCAAACAGTAAATACAAAAATAGGCATTGGCTTTAGCTATAGGCATGAATACCTGTGTATATACTATGTACCTAGGGAAATGTAACAAAATCAAAAGTTAGGCCAACTAGCGTAAGTAACAATACTTACAAATTTAAATGCGTAAGTGCCCGTAAATGCGTTACTCTGTGCTTTTATATTTGTAGAGATATTTGTCCGTCCTGTTTAACAATCAAGGATAACTACACACCACAAACGACCAACGGTGGGCAGTGTTAGATGTCTCTACAAACATAAAAGCCACATATTCATTAAAGAAAGAACAACTTCTTTGATATCCATCGTTCAATTGTCAGCTGATTGCTTCCCACACCATTCCGTATGCCTTTTAGAACCTTGAAATTAACTTTTTACCTATAATTTTGTATCTATCCGAAGTTCTATTACACATGATTTTTTAATTACTGTTCAATTCCTCTTGTGATTATTTAAAGTTTGTTTTATTTTGTTTTGGTTTGTCATTATTTTAATCTGCTCAAAATAAAAATATTTTTTAAACAATCCGTTTAATAATTTGATATTTTGATTATACTCCTAATCTTGACGCAACAATCATTAGTTATTAAACTATGGGTATGTATATCTATTATGAGCATTACAATCATTAATTTAGTACAATTGTTGCATTATTATTATTGTTATTATTAATTCATATCTCATTTCAAATTATGTTTAAATTGTGAGTTCAATTCATGGCGCTATCATCGCATTACAAATATTTAACAATTGGAAATGAAAATTCATCTCAATGGTGTGACGTAAGCAATTGGGAACCATTAGTGAGGTAAGCTACACATTAAACAAAGAAAAACAAGCGAAACCCCTTTACTGATATTGAAGAAAATACAATGCAAGCTAACATTACGAAATATGTGCATCTTTTAAATCTGAATAGCATAAAGCTTGCAATTCTATTTTTTACAAAAATAAGAACATGTCAAAAAGAATCCATAACAAACACTTTACATTCTGTGTATATTTAAGGGCAATATTGCAACTGTATTAAATATACAAATTCTTACATACGTATGTATATACAAAAAGTGAAAAGCTAGTATGTGTCTTAGCAGCAACTACAACAACAACAACTGCACTACAGCTAACTTATGTATGTCTACATATGTTGTACAGGCACATACATACACATATGAAGAAATTAAAAAAAAAAAAAAAATTAAAATACATATTCCATAAATGCTTGGCCGCCACTTACATTTTGCGTATGTGGACAATGGGGGATGAGCCTAAACCGAAATCCAAAGTTGTGTCAGCATTCAAGTTCAAAAACTGCATTTAGATGTTTCTGAGCATGCGCAAAAACGGTTTATACGAACGTATATTAATTTAACTATAATGTTTCCAAAACTCAACAAATTCCTAGCGATATTTAATTGAAACAATTATCGAGTATCTCGACTATCTATGGGAATAATGCAGAAATAGTAAGGATAGACGAAATTCGAAATTTTATAAAACAAAATCCAAAACAAAAAAAAAAGAAAATCCAAAACAAAAAAAAAAGAAAATCAACGGTTGTTCCATCAAAAGATACAAATCGCATAAATAAAGCATGACTTAAGTCATGTTCAAATGACATCCAGTAGATATTTCAGTATCTTCGACCTGAGAATGTTATTACTTTGCTCATATCTGTTCGTATGGTATTGGAAGAAATATCATATGTATGCATATATTTTTAAAAATATTTCCTAACCAAAACGGTTCAATAAATTCAATTCAAGACTATTTCACATATACTCTGCTGTTATCCATGCAAAACACTTCAAGCATAAATATTAAGAGTAAGTAGCGCATTGACATTATTATAAATCAGTAGAAAAGCATACATACATAAATACTTGTTTTCATCACGGTATGAAAGTAGCTGAAGACACACATATATAGATAGATAGATGTAACTATCTATAGCGAGCAGTTGACAAAATGTAGCTAGTAATATTTTTAGTGTATGATGTATGCGCTTTTTACGTGCGTGCCTATTGCGATTTACGAGCAGCAGCTGTGGTGTTCTAAACAAATTTTTTAGATAAAACAAATCGAATGCAGACCGAAAGATGTCCTTTTAGTCCACCGTTTCTCGACTTGTCTCAAACCCTTCTTTAGACTTTCACGCGCTTGCGCTTGAGCCGCTAATAAAACGCTTCGATTTTTTGTACATACAATGTAAATAAAAAAGCTACCTACCTACAATTATGTAGCTCAGATAATGTAAAAATGTCGTTAGATCATTTCACTTCGGCTATTTGTATTATTGTTTCTGTTCATAGAGTTTTCGGTATATGGATTTGTTCAAATGATAAACACTGCCAAAGCGTATAGAAATCACTCTAAATTAAACGACAAAATGCAGAAGCTTAGTTCAGTTTGATTTTCGCCATTTTAATATAGACTAAACGAATATTCATCATATAATATTCGTTTGAAACATTTACATTTTGTGACATAAATTTAGCTTAATAATATAACAGTTAATCGAATTCGAGCTTTTAATAATATGAAAAAAAAAAACAAATACCAACTTAAGTCAATTTAAGTTGAAAAAGAAGGAATATAGCAGTTAAGATTGGTTCTGGTACATTGCGTTTTGATAAAAAGAATGTAGCCTTAGGTCTAGACAAAAAATTAAACGAAAAATCTAACATTGTGAATATTAAGTATGCGCCTTCAAAGTAACTTTACGTATAGAAAAGTATGCATGTACGTATATGTATGTATGCAATGCCGAAAACCAAGTGACCCACTAACAATTTGAAAGTGTGGGCAAAAAGATTATGCATAGCCTAGCTTTAAAACCAAAAATAAAAAATATATAGATAATATAAAAACACATACATATATATATATGTATAAATATATTTATTTATATTAAGATCAAGTTCATTTATTGTTAGGGCAATTTAATATATAAATGTAATATAGTTGAGATGAAAAAGCATTTGCAATCCTTATAAAAGGCATAGAATAAACCCAAAAGTTAAACATAATTTTTAAATGAATAACATAGTTGTACAATTTTTAGAATATATGAATACTCACACACACACACACTTACACTCTTACACACATACGAACACTCTGAAACGACCACACATCACATCAGCGAACAACAACAAAACGAACTCTCGATGTTGTGAAACTTGATTAAATCATGTTTACGCTAATAAAAATTTTGAAAAATATAAATCAAATGCTATACCAAATGCATAACGAGAACTATCCATAAAATAGCTTATTAAATATCAATCGACTAATCTCATAAAAATTGAGCAAAGCTGTGTTCGTCATTTGCTGTGCTCCAATTTCTTCAATTACTTCAATTCACATGAAAGTCTTGTCTTACTATTCTTTTTATTTAACAATTCGAAATCCTTAAGCATACTATGGTTCGATTTCGCCAACAATCCAGCTTTGTTCACAAAAAAATATAATAATCATAATAAATAAATAATGATACCTAATATATCGCCCAGAAATACTCAATGCCATACATCTAGACACAACTGCGATGTTTTGTAGAAAATTTCGTGAGTAAAATTGTAAAAATATCATACTCGTAAATGTAAGGCATTTACAGTAGTTAGATTCTTTGTATAGGAAACAAAGTTTAAGCCTAAAAACCACAAATGATCATTTTTAAAATTTGAGCAACAAAGAAATGTTATTTTGTAATCATTATATGCTAAAAACAAAAACGTTAATTAATTTATAATTGTCGAAGTTAAAAAACAAACTTATTGTATAATTTCGCAGCCTTTCACAACTCCGATATGTGCATATATACACATGCATATACGTGTGTGTAGATTTGTATATATATATACTACAAATGCATACAAATTATTTTAATGTGTGCATTACATTTGTATAAATAATTTGAAAAACAAATCTAAGCAAACAACATAAATTAGTCAACATAATTGTAATTACATTTTTTTAGTTTTTACCCGCGATTTATAAAATATATTTACAAGTAAAACTCTGATAGTTGATCATAAGAATAAAAATAAAGTGCTGATATACAATTTATTTATAATTATAAAATTAATAGATCGAGATCGAAGAAAGCATAATGCAAAATTGTTTTGTTTAAAATAACCACAACAATTTCGAGGAAAAAACGAAATTTTAAATAATAAAATAAACACATTAAAATTCGTATTTTAAACATTTGTCTATGAAAAAATAATATAATATATAATAAAAAAAAGTAAAAAAAAAAACAGATAACTGTAACAAAATAAATGGTATAATAATAATATTATGTTGTTAATGTTAAAAAAACCTTGTTAAAATAATATTTCAAAATAAAAAATACGAATACAAAAATTGAAATAAAGGCCTGCGCCGAGAGCTTTTTCTTATAAAAAGTGAAATCTTGAGCTAGGGCATGGGTATCGGCTCGAACAGCCCAAAAATTGACCCACATATGGCAGGCCAGCACCAGAAATTCCATCGACCAATTGCGTTTAGAAATTTGCAGTCACGACTCGCATAAAACGCACCCAATTACCAAGTCCAATTGAACGCGCGCGTTTCATAAGCTTTTTATGTCGCTTCGCATTACTCATTACTATTGTGTAATCAGCGATATATGTCTATGTGATATGTGATATATAAATATATATATTTACAAATCATTAACCATTGCGGTTGTTGTACATCAAGTGAGCATCTTTGGATTACAATCTGATTCGCCTGAATAAGCACACATTCAAAACCAAATTAGGCAAATGAGAAATCTCTAATACGCAGTACTTGCTAAGAAATACCTCGTGCCTACATGAACAAGCGCTTAAGAAAGGCTCCGTCAAAATATATATACATTTTTTTATAATTTTATTTAGTATATATAAATATTGACAGACCGACAGAGAGAGATAGAGAAACGGAAGAAGGTTCTGGTCATATAGACCTTCGCTTTGATCATGATCAATGATTTAGGTTTTTTCTCTTCAAACTTATAAATATAAAAATATAAAAATAGATTATCAAATTTATTTTTGTCATAGTCAACTGCTCTATCAAACTTGAAAATATTTTTATAAATATGTCTATAATTTGAAACCGATTTAGCAATTGTTGGACGGATAACAATTCGTGACCTTGTTATTTTTGTTCCTAATATGACATTTGATTGAAATTTGCTCAAAAGCATGTATACCTTGCACAGGTCCTAGGGAATTATAATTTTCAGTCCTTCAGTTGTGCAGTATTGATACCAGAATGGGGAGTAGCTAACGAGTGCCGCAGCCATACTTTTAACCGCACTAGTAATTTAATAAACTTGAGGTTCACATTGAAGAGAACTATAAACAAGGTAGACATCTTCAGCTATTTCTATAATCTTCAGTGCAAAGTGCATTTTAGGAAAAACGTGAACGTGGTGGATGGCATCCTGTATGCCGTTGTTGTTGTTGTTATGTAGGCGTAGCCTATGCAGGTCTGCTACTGCTTTTGGCGATCTCCTCACTAACCCATGGGATCTTTAGGACATTGTGGATGGAAGCGTTGTCGTGGAAAATATGTGCTTTGGAAACGATGCGCAGTGCCTTGTTTTGAAATATTTGAATTAATTTAAGGTTGCTTCGGCTGGCAGTACCCTTGTAGACAAGGAGCTTTGACCATAAACATCCCCGAAGATATACTGTCCCAAAAATAATGTATTCATACTTTGAGCAATACATAAGTGTTCGACATCCCTGTCCCTATAAGGTGAGTTTGGATAGTTATTAAGCTAATCATCTAATTTACTATTGCAAGGCTAACACCGAATTAAATCTTCTACGTTGGTCATTCGACGAAAAGAGCATAATATAATCAAAATGGAATTCATACATCCTGGATCTTCAACAACACAGTTGCTGCACAAATTATTGGTTAACGTTATTTATTGTTCGGTAATTCGCAGTTGGATATAGGTACTATATATTTTTTTAAGCAACTATAATTTGTCTGCGTTGGTTGGGTCATTGTATATTTCAAGTTTTTGACTATGCTACGTGCTATTCAAGTCAATAAGTCTTTAATTTGCATTTCCTTATTATACCCTGAACCCATTAAAAATGGCTAAAAAAGGGTATAATGTATTTGTGCAAATGTATGTAACAGGCACAAGGATATATATATTCTTGATCAGCATCAATAGCCGAGTCGATCTAGCCATGTCCGTCTGTCTGTCCGTATGTATGAACGCAAGGATATCAGAACCTAAAGGAGCTAGAGACTTGAAATTTGGAACGTAGGTCCTCTTAGTGCCCGCGCAGTTGGTTTCCGATAATCGATAACTTGTTCCGTTTCCAAGTAATCGATCAAAATCGATATCGATATTGTGTTTTTTTGAGCAAATCTCTTAGGTTTTAAGAGCTAGAGCCACCTAACTTGACATGTAGATTCCAGAATAATATATATATATCAAGTATCTTCCATTTTATAGTTATCCCATCACCCCGCTAGCACCACATATCTATTAATCAAGTAAAAACACTTTTGTATTGCCCACCCATTTAAACCACAATTTAAATGCAATTGTCTGTTTGAGAATACACGAATATTTTAAATTCTGAAAATTTAATTAAAATCGGTTGAGAAACGGAGAAGTTATTCGGCTGCCTATGCGGTTCGGGCAGCTAGCGCAAGTTTCCAGAATTTCTGCATACATGTACACACACACATTCACGCGCGTCTTTATTGAATTCTATCAACAGCATTCAATTGCGATTGTATTGTATTCTGTACTGTGTGTATGTGTTGCTATTTTAATTCGTTTTTTTTTCGATAGGGGTGAATTTTTTATTTTTTTTTAAATTTATTTTTATTACTGCTAAAACAAACGAGCGCGTAACGCGAGCTGCATTTGGTATTGGTAAAAGAGGGTTCAGGGTATCCCCTAGTCGGGAGCTCCGGACTAGAGCCTCTTACTTGTTTTATATTACGCAGCTACAGAGATTCTCATACATAATGGAGATCGATTCGCACTCACTGTAAGTAGCACATTTCAAGCCAGGTAAGGCTGTCATTCAGAAAGTCGCTTTAATGTTTCTGTTCCTGTGGCGGTATCAGGCGCCAATGCGAAAGGAGCCTATTTTGTGGTCATGCGCGCCTGGTCCGCATTGCTTTTTAAGGTATTGACAAGTTCGTTGCCCAAGTCTTTTGTTTGCCTGGGCTCAGATGGCCAAGAACTGCCAAACACTTTCGTTTAAGCTCTGCGTGAGTGTCTTGCAGTGTGAAGACAGTGCACATGCCGGCATTCCATGTTGTTAGCGGTCGCGTGCTGAGTCCGAGCATTGTACAAGTTTTCAGCCCGATGGCCGATGCCATCGCCAGCACAGACGAAGCCGTCGAAAGATAAGCCGACTACTTTCTTTGTGGTCTCCGCTTCCAGTGAGCGATGATACGTGTGCTTCCAATGGTTGGCAAAAGTAACTATCAAAGTCAGCGACAGTAGCTACGCTCAGTTGTTAACGCGACCTGAACAGGTGCAGACTTGAAGAGCTCTGGCAATCCATTCGTATTCGCACTATCGCCGCGGCGCGCGTGGACATGAAGTTAATTGATGTGATTATTTACTTAATTGCTATTTTGATCTTCATCTACTTGCTGCTGGAATAAAAGCCAGCACGTCTTCAAACAACAGTCACTCAACTCCAAGTCAAGCCTTTCCTTCTACACGCTCAAATAGTAATCACTTCAGCTGTACCAGCATTTGTCTATCGTTCACTCAATTTGCCACAACATGAAGGTAAGTAAATCCCATGCTAATTTTATTGGGCTCAATTATCGATAATTGAAAATTAGCGCGCTGGGAATCACAGCCTGGAATGCATTAATTATATGCAAATTGGAAGTTTCTTTTGGCTCCATGTTGATAATTCATCTTTTATTTTTGTCTTTCGCTTAAATCTAAAGACAATGCCGCCATTCAACTGCAACTTCGTCTTCATTTTTCTTTCAATTGAATTGCAATTGATGGCGCAGTTGCAGCCCATGTTTTGAATACTTGTTAAATTGCGATTGGGGGGCAATTGTGTGCACTTTCATTTGCGGTTCAGTTGCAGTTGCAATGAGAGCACTTGATGCGCCGAGTTTTCGCTTTAAACAACAAACAATGAGCCGCTCGCTTTGTGCACATAGCGCACCAATTACACTGCTGTTGCTTGACAGCCACGGGCACGGCCACGGGCACTGGCATTGACTTTGCCTCAATGTGCATCAAAGTGTGGCGGGAAGTCTTGAAAATAAAATGATGCGTTTCTTCGAAAACAGTTGGTTTAGTGCTAAATAAAAGTTGCATTTCAGGTTGGCCAAATGCGTTGTGAATTGGGTTAACTTGTGCTTGTTTATGGTTTCCCCTGATTTGCTACAGTTCGAATTGTAAGCGGTCGGTCAGCCATAGTGGAATTTAGTGCAAAACTAATTCCTACTTCAGGTTAGTTGCAGGCGACGTTTGTATGTGTGGCAAATGCATAAAATTATAAAAATACTAATTTTATCGGGACTTTGACTTTCTTTAAACGAGTTGATATTAACTGCTCCCACCGCACAAGTTCATTCACCACCGGCCGCTCCTGGTTGACGTCAACTATTATTATGCATATTTTTAAAGGCGACAAAGCAATATCAAATTACTAGCCACTTGATAAACACCAAGCCAGCAATTTGGTCTCAATTACGTTTGTAATTTCGATTAGGCAAACGCAGCACGTAATCAATAACCACTGTGCAGCACAGTGGTCACATTGTCCACTGCGACCGGCTGCGGTCGGCTGTCAGTTTCACCTGAGCGCGGCGCTTGATTGACTGCCGGACTAACGGCACAACATTGTCATTGCCAGTGTCTCCGGCAGACAAGTGAAATTGGTTGTTGCAACAATTACGATGCCAAATTGTTGACTTCCAGGGGCATGCATACCAAAAGCAAAGCGCGGCACAGCAGAGGCCTCGTTGCGTTCATAACAGAACTAAATCGATTTGGTATTTCACTTTCGTTGGCCCACACGTTTAATTAGACGAGACATCCGCCCGCCTGGTCCGCCTGCAGTTATGGCTACCGTGTGTACACACACATATGTATGTGTACAAAATGATATGATAGCTTAAGCAGCTTTTAGTGGCCAGCCCCAGGCGACGTGATAAAATTTTAGAAAACCGCCAATTTATACAAATTAACGCCATTATTTTCGGTTCTCCGACCGTACGTTGATTACACGCCCCCCCCCAAGACACCTCTATTCCCCTAACCACATTGTGAAATTAGCGCTGATAGAGCTTAGAAAGTTTTATTTGTTTATTCGTTCAGTACTTACCCGCAAGATAATTAAATGTTGTTTAATGAATTTTCGTATTAAATGTTGACATCTCTACTACTTTAGCCTCTTATACTCATGACGCTAATGTTGGGCCTGGCCAGCTGTGAGCTGCCTGTTGGAAAGCGTCCGCTGATCTTCAGCAACAGCAATTGGCCTCCCACGAGCGCCAAGCAATTAAATCGTCCAGTCGGAGCTGCAGCTGCTTCCACTGGCAAGCAGCGTACACTGGTTGTGCAGATTCGCAGTGATCAGCCAGTTCCATTGGTTTTGAAGGGTCGTCCTGGCGCACATAGTCACGCTCATCAGCATCTGGCTCCGCACTCACACGCTCACTCTCATTTGCACGCGCACGGGCACTCGCACGCCCACACGCACCTGTTATATGGAGCGCCACCGCAACATTTACGTGGATCACGCCCGCTTAAGCTAAGCGCTCCAGTGTATCTTAAACCCTCCGGTAGCTTACGGAAGCCGCTGAAGATCAAGCTAAGTAGCTCCAAGCCACATTCCAAGCCAACTTTCGGATATGAGAAGCCCTTTAAGTATGAGAAACCCACAGCGGTCGCCTACAGCGAGCTGCAGAACTTGCCGGTAAGTACCACAGTAGCGGGCTGGACATACACTCTTATCCTTACACACGCCTCACATGCCCCACAGCTGGACACGCACAACAATTACAACACCGAGCACTTTGCACCTATTTATACGGTACCCGCCCCCAATCTGGCACTGCATCACGATCACGATAATCAGATAGATGATGGCCTAGACACCGCATACTTGCCCCCGCAACACTCGCCCCCACAGAGCACCCAACGTCCACAGTCCCCAGGCTATGGGCCGCCCGCAGCTGCGGGCAGCTATTACAGCGTGCATGAGGATGAGACAAATGATCAAACGATTCGCGATCCTATTTCGGGTTCGCAGAAACTCTTTGCCCCAGATCCCGACCCATCGTTGCCAACTAGCAAGGTGAAGGTCGCAACGGAGAGCTTCAACACGCCCAGCAACAACCAGCCACTCCCTTCGGATGTGCAAAGCAACCATCTGCCTGCTCAACCTCTGGTTCAGATTGTGGGTGCCCAGGCGGCTGCTCAAACAGTTCCAATATATCCCATACAGTTTTCGCAGCAGGCTACACAGCCCTTTATCGCCGCCGCTGCCTTGCCCGCGGCCCACATACCCATCTACAATCCCACCTATCTGGTCACCCAGTCTAATCAGCTCTACACCCAGCACAAGCAGCAGCTATTCAAGCCCAGCACAGAGCACGTCGTTGAGACCGGATACGTTAACGCTGATCTGACGCAGGAGGTAGCCAGCAATGGCCAAATTCTGCAGGCCGCCAAGGATCCTGAACACAATATACACCCGGTGTTGGATACGGCGCCGCAATATGCAGCACTGATTGCCGCGCCAGCGCTGGGTGAGTCTGCCGAGCCCGTCTATGAGACTGCGCCTTTCCATCTGGCCAATGTCGCCGCAGCAGTTGGTTCAACAGCGCCAGAGGGCGGATTTGTTGTGTCTAACTACTATGGAAACTCGCACGACTCTTCCCAGCTTCTACAAGCGTATGCTGAGGAAGAAGCCCGACGACAGCAGTTGGAAACTGAGCATGCTGCACTTGAGCTGCAAAAGCAGCAGCAGCAGCAGCAGCAGCAGCAGAAACAGATCCAATTGGAAGAACTGAACGCACAGGCACATGCTCAATTCCAGCAGCAGCAATATCAGCAAGAGCTGCAGCAACAGCAATATCAGCAAGAGCTGCAGCAACAGCAATATCAGCAAGAAATACAGTTTGAAGAGCTAAAGGCACAGGCACAGGCACAACACTTGCAGCATCAACAGAATCAGCAACAACTGCAACTACAGCAACTGCAACAGCAACAACTTGAGCAGCACCAACAGCAACAGCAGCAGCAGCAGCAACAGTCACAAAATTATCCCCCAGATGCAGCGGCCACTGCCTTCGAGGAACATCAGCGTCTGGTACAGCAGCAACTTGGCAGTAATACGCCGTTACGTATTTTTGTTCCAGATGAGGAAACGTCCGAAACGGTAGGATTAAATTCATTTGAAGCTTTTAGCCTCTATATATATATATATATATATATTATTTCTGTACTTTCAGCAGCGCCTGCAGAAGCGCTCAGATAATCCAAAAAAAGGCTCCTTTGAAAATGTGCCCGCACTATACGGTAACAATGCCACAAAGGATTTGTTTCCCGTTTCAACTTCTGTAGAGGTTTCAGGCGGCCAAAATGACGCCAGCAGTACATAATAATTTGTTTTTGTTATGACGTAGTCCTTAGCGACCTTCGAATATTTATTTTACAAACTCATTTGTAAATTTAAACGTATAGCAAGTCGATAGTGTAATAAATAAATGTATTAATATTTTAAAAAATTGCGCATTTTTAATGCATTATTGATGGGTCACACTGTTATATATCGATATTCAGACCATGTGCTCATTTACTATCGATATTTAAGTTTGAACAAGTTGGCAGGCCTGTTAGCAAAAAGAAGCTAAACATAAATGTGTCGACGGAACACGCGTGAAGTAAATAAATAATATTAGTATACTATTAAAATTGATTGCAACCACAATGATTATACCAATTCGGTGTTTTACTTGTGGCAAGGTAATCGGAAACAAGTGGGAATCCTACCTTGGTTTGCTTCAGGCAGAGTACACAGAAGGGTAAGACGCACGTCGATTTTGCCTACATTCCTTTTTAACCCGATCTATAACAAGTTTCTAACATAAACTCCTTAGTGATGCTCTGGATGCTTTAGGTTTAAAACGCTATTGTTGTCGTCGCATGCTGCTCGGCCATGTGGATCTCATTGAGAAGCTCCTTAATTATGCGCCACTTGAGAAGTAAATGTGAGAGCTTACGCATGGGGAATCAGAAATAAACTGACTTTGAACTACAAACTTTATATTTATTGTTAAAACAAATTAAAGCTTAATCAAAAAGAAAATCTCCAAATGGACTACAAATTATCCATGAACCATGGTTGCCCATTGTTCTCGCGACGCTTCGTGAGGATCTCACAACCATTGTTAGTTACCAACAGAGTTTGCTCGAACTGGGCTGAGTAAAGGCCATCAGCTGTTACGGCGGTCCAGTCATCTGGCCAAGATTCCGCCTTCTGAACACCCTCGGAAATCATTGGTTCGATTGTAAAGCAGTGCCCAGCGGCCATCACTCCAACGGCAGAATTCTCTGTGGGCGGTTTAAAACATCAGTACCTTTAAGAGATTATCTATTCCAATCGACTTACTGGCATAGTGGGGTACATTCGGGGCAGTGTGGAAAACACGGTGAATACCATGACCACAATAGCTGCGGACGACGCTAAAACCATGAGGCGCCACATACTTCTGAATAACGTTACCTATCTCCCGGTACTTAACGCCTGGGCGTACCAATTCGATAGCTTTGCTCAACGATTCGTACGTGATGCGTACCAACTTTTTGTGTTTTTCTGATACGTCTCCCACGAAAAAAGTCTCGTTGAGATCGCCATGAAAACCGCGGTGATAGACAGTCACATCGATGTTACAAATATCGCCATTCTCCAATGGACGCTTGTCCGGTATACCGTGGCAAATAACCTCGTTCACGCTCGTACAGCAGGACTTGGGGAAATTGTAGTAGTTGAGGGGTGAAGGGTAGCAGTCGCGCTCTATGGCTGCTTCGTGCACCAACCGATCCAACTCATCAGTCGTAATGCCCACCTCTATGGCTTTGGCGCCTTCATCAAGACACTCCCGTCCTAGGCGTCCAGCTACTCGCATTGCCTCAATTTCATCATCATCGAGTATCTTAATTGTTGTCCCGCGCAAAGATTCTTCCGACAATGACCGTCCCGCTGGGTGATCAGCATAGTCTGGACGCGCAATAGCTTCAGGCACAGCACGTTTAGCAGTCTGCGGAAAGGGACGCAATTTGCCGGTAAAGCGAAAATGTGGCCAGGGATTGTATACACCCTCGTCTACGGGCTGTTTTTCCCCACCGGCTATGTTGAAAGAATTTCACGTTTTTGGGAAACCCTATTAAATGTATATATACGAATATGTATATTAGGTGGAACACCTACCAGCTAAAGCATGGATCACCTTGTGCTCTTTCCAGAATCCTTTAAAGCATGCCTGCGAGCAGAAAAATGAACCCTTGATGCCCAACTTAAGGCAAGTGGGGCATTGTAGCGTTGCCTCCTTATTGCAATTCGTTGTTTCACAACTTTGCGTCATCTCAATGCGTGAAAATTTGCTATTAACAACCGTTCCAATTTTAGCACTCTGAAGGCAACTAATTATAGACAACGCCGTTAATACAATTTCATTGAATACATCGATAAGATATTATCGATGTTTGGGGCCGTTAACACAATATGGCTGCACTGACACCACCGGCAATATTAAAAGCAAAAACATGGTTAAAACATTTTTTTTTGTAAAGGAGGCATGAGACAAATTAAAAATAACGAAATATCACTGCTTATCTGTATTTAAGTATAAAAAACTGAGATTCTTCCATAGGATTATTAAAACTAATAATTGCCTAGTTTTGTTAAAATCTTTTGAACAAAAAAGCATTTTAAACGCTTGGTATGTACAGCCCTAAATTGATAAAAAACATGCCCTTAGAGTTGCAGCTGAGGAAGTATAATAATCAAATTTATCTTAAATAAATTACGGATACATCAAATGAATTTGAACTTATATCAGTTCAAAGCGGTTGCAACTGTTAAGCAAAAGCAGCTGTTAGCAAGCATCTCAGCGCATGCTCTTTCCCTCTCTCTCACTCTCTCTCTTTCTCACACACACACATATATTTTCTCGTTCTCTCTCTCTCTCTCCCTATCTGTCTATTAAACACAGCTGTGCCAGTAGCTATGTTTGCTCTGTTTATGTTTGAAAAAATCAAAGCGCGAGAACCTTTCGTCGTAAACGGACGTGTGCATCTTTGTGGCGGCTAAATAACGCGAACGAAAGAAAAACAGCAACAAACTTGTTTGATCGAGAGCAGAACACAAAATCCAAACGAGCCAAAAAAAGGATTCCTTTGGCACTCAAGTGTATGTTTGTATTCGTGAATAAGAATGAGTGCACTTACTTGTAACGCTATAATAATAAGAAGAATGTGCTTATATGGTATATAAAGAACATATAGCATCCTTTTGGAATGCAGCTACAGGTGGAACTTGCATCCTGGTTATTTTTTTCGACTATTGCATTTAAATATAAACAAATTTGGCAAATGGGAAAAGAAAAAGCTATATCATAGCTGAAAGCAAAGGTGCTTATTGTACCTATTTAGTGTATATATTAGTTAGTTGTTCGTCTTTCGCTAATCTGTCAGACAGTCAGTCGTTCGGACAGTGAATAGATCAGTTTGTCGCGATCTTTGCACTCGACGTTCGATCGCGCTCTATGAGTTTTCCTTATCAGCAGTTGTCGTAGTTGCCCGCGTTGCTTTTGCATTTATTTCAAAAAGACTGCGACAAACGCGCCGCAGTTGCTGTTGGTTATGCTGATGCTGCTGCTGTTGCTGGCGCTGCTGATAGAGGCAGAAAAGACGAAACAGCAACAATAGCTATAAATAACAAACGGCACGCGGCTGCCATCCGTGTGCACTGTACGCTGCTTGCCCTCCACTGCTGAACTGAAATCAACGGCACAGGCGTTTTACGTTGTGGGTGTTTTGCGCTTTACGCTTTCCTCTATTCCACTGACTGAATGATTGTGTCGTTGTCCGTTTACCGCTTTTCATTTCATAAACAACAAAAACAAAGAATAACAAACAAACTCGAGCGAAACGCGAATTGTCAATTGTCAATGGTCTTCATTCTAAAGGCCGTCTGTGTAATTAAAATAGAATCAGTTTTCTGACTGTGTGTGTGAATATATGTTGCGGTATATATATTTATACATTAAAATATGCATATGTGCGTGTTTGTGTTATATACTAAGACATTACTTTATTGTTTTGTTCAGGCTATTGCAATACGGAACATCGTCAAAAGTCAAGGTACTGCTGCTGCGGCAAGCAGCGACGCCAGCAGAAGCTGATGGAGAGACAGCAACGATCTTGCCTTGCTGCTGCTTTGAACTCGATCGCAGACACAGATTGAACAAATCAGGATCGCACATTGCTCTTGCTTTTGTTGCCGTTGTTGTTGTTGTTGTTCTTGTGTTGTTTTTGTTGCTGTGATTGTTGTTGGGCGACTGCTTTTTTTGGCCAACGATCTGCGTCGTTTGCCCAGAGGCTCTGCAGGCCTTACTGAAATTAATGGTAAGAACACAAAAGGCAAAACTTAAATGCCGACAGAGTTAATTGGCCCCGTCTGTGGCTCCTGCTCCAGCCTTTGATACTGAAAAATGTGGCATTAGCAAAATGTTGCCATATGTGTACATACATATGTATGTATATTCCTCGCATTTGTTCGCTTTAGGTTTTTTGGCTTCAGTTTTGCCTGATGCCTTTTGTCAGTTAGATGAAAATTTATGCGTCGCAGCAAGGAATGCCACATATATGAAATTCGCTGCCGACGCTCGGCTACCACATTTTCCAGCGCCTCAACACTTCCGCTTTGCCAGAAAATCAACTTCCGCTGGCAAACAATTGTCAGCAGGGGGCGGCGTAAAAAGTCGGGGAAGGCGCTGACGACGCTGCTTTTGTAGCAAACGTAGCACAAGAGACGCATATTGATATTGTTGCCAGGTTTCTATCGCTTCAGTGCACTCACACACTCACACATATACACACATACACACATACCCACACCCACTCCCGTATAAATTGAAGCTGCTGCAAACGCATTTCACTTTTGCTTCACTGGTCCTGGCTGTTTCGTTGCTTGTCCTTTGGCCCGGCAAGCATTTTGTGGCATCTTCGCCAGCTTATTGCCAACCGACGCCATTAAGCGTTTCATGTTACCTCCCTCCGCATTAAAATATTGCGCGCGTATGCATTACCCAACAATACTTTCCGTTTCTGCGACATTTCATTTCATATTTCTGCCAACTTCGCTTATGAATAGAAAACATTTTGCTTCCTCTCGTTTCTTCTCGTTTAGTGCACCCTTGCAGAGTATTTAGAGTATTTTAACTTTGACACAAACTGTGTACATTTATATAGGCATGCTTTTTATGCCAATTCCTTTCTATTCATCTCGAAATGCAGCTAATGTATAGATAAAATCTTAGTTATATTGGAATTATCAAATACTTAGTTGCAATAGAAAACTTTGATATAAAATTTAGTTAATCAAAGCACAGAAATATATAGCACAACT